ATAAATTTGAGATGTTTAAAGTCGAATGCTGAAGTAAATTTAAGTAATTTAGTTATTTTAAACCTATTGATAGTATCCAATATCCATATACATATAGTGACTTATTAATTCTTATTAAGTCCCAAAAGAGTAAGTCACCTTTAGAACTTTGGCTATGATCTTCTTTGCGTTTTTTTGGTTTAACTTCTTCATCTTCTTCAACTAGAGGACGTTTTAAGTTATCTGTTTCTTTTGATGGTTTCACAGTTGATTCGTTTGATGAGGTATTAACAGAATCAGTTACTTCACMCGAACCACCATCTTTGGATTCAATTTCTTTAGAAGTACTAGCTGATGTACTCTCTGCTGATGCACTAGTTGATACATTTGCAGATGATTGAGAAACCGACTGGATGGGTGTTTCTGGTTTTTCTTCAGTCTCAACAGTTTTTCTATAAGTTAAAGAGATTTATTGTAGATTTTGTKTATGCTGAAAAGAAAAATGTATTGTTTTTTTTTGTAAAATACTTACGTATCGTTCGTCATGCTGGTGTTCTGTTCCTCAGCTATTTTCTTGTTCTTCTCATCCTGTCGAGCAGACGAACTCTTAAATTGATTATTACCCGTGTTGGTAAGTCTTAATGTCACTCTGGGTGATACATGTTGTTGTTTATCACTGTTCGCAGCATCTGAAATAAAAATTAACTATTAATAACAGTAAATATAAGCAAAATTGTTCAATAGTTTTTTAATAATTATTATTATTTAATTCAATACACAATACTTTATGTTATATGCTATGCAATATTCTTCAAGAATTAAARACGAAAATTTTATTTGATTAGCTATAAAATGTTTTTAATAGGTAAAAAAAATTCTAATTCTGCTACATATAATTTTTTTAACTGTGATAAAATAATTTTTTGATTTAATGTTTTTTTGGGATAATAAAATGTTTTTAATAGGTACCTATTTTATATTTATTCTACACAGAACACAGAAACTGATAAGTATTGAACAATAAAATATTGAAATACTGAATCAAGTAATTTGATAAAACATAAGGATAGAAATTTGATAAGAGATTAATAATATACTGAGATTAATCAAATTCTCACAAAAATAATAATTATACWACAAAATTATACATTAATTTACTTAGATAGGTACTGCAAGACGCAAATCTGAACAAAAATGTTTCAATTGTATGAGTTGGCATATCAAGGAGTTAATAACAAGAAGTTTAAAATTATTTAAATCAAAAAATAATACCTAATAAAATATTGTAGAAAAAATGGAAGATTAATCGAAATCGTACAACATAATTGTTTCCTTCCAAATCATCTAAAATATCATAAAAATAAACAAACTATACAGGGTGATTTCTTAGTATATTCAATGTTGACCTCTATTTTTCCTTTAGTACTAAATTTATTCAAATTCTGATTTTTTGATTTTTTAAATGTATTCTGCAAATTCTTGTATTTGTTAGTACTACTTAAGGAGGGTTCTGTGATTTGTTTTACAAATGAGGCACCACCCCCCTCCCCCTACGATTTAGTAGATATTTTTTTGAAACATTTGATGTACCTAATCAAAATAATTCAAACYAGTAGTTTTTTAGTTATAAAAATGCTTATACCAAAGATAAGTAATTGTTCTTAAAAATGGTGTTACAAAAATATAAAACAGAAATAATACCTATTGAAACTAGTACCTATTTATTATGCCTGGTCCACTTTTACAAATTATTGCTTAACAATACCTATTAAATTGCTTATGTGATAAAAAATAAATAAATAAGTTGCTATCACTGCAACACACAGAGCAGAGTTAAGTTTGTACGATTTATTTTACTTGTTTGAGTAAAACAAAAATACAGTAATTTAATAATTCAAATTTCTGTTCTATTAAAACGCACTGGTGTTACTGAGTAGATACTAGTCAGCAAGTTTTGAGTTTCCAAACAATATTATATTATTGTTCTCTAATCGAAAGCGACTTGGGTGGTTCAGACGACGTTAGCTATTAAAATGTTGTCCACACAATATTAATACGTCGTAAAGAACGTAATGTCAATGTTTCGGATTTAGAGTTTTTTTTTTTTAACTATATAGAATCGGTAGGTGCTACTATACTAGGTACGGCGGCGGATGACGGAAAAATTAATAATTAAAATACAAGCGCGCTAACCCCGTTCGTTTCTCAACCCGAGGCTTTCTCCGCAGTTCGTCGCATAACCTCCTCCTAATGCAACCATAACAGGCGGCCGCCGTTTGCCAGCAAGTCTTGTACTGCGCTTCACCGGATTCACAGAACTCATGATGATCGTCGTCCCAGAGCGAAACGTGCTGCGAAATCACTGAACGGAATCGATTTCGGAGCCGATAAGACACGGTCCATTGGGGCAAAAATATGGGACACAAAGGTCGACGGTCGACTGAAGATGCGTATGGTGGTTAACAGCAGGGGGGTATGGGGACCGATAAGCGATTATATTGTGAAAAGTGTTGGACGGCATTACGATGGTGTTATATCTTATATTTATATAATATAATACTATAACATTTTAAATGTGATAAATGATGATACACAGAGTGATTGTAATCTCCGTCATCGTCAGCCGGCCGACACATTTCGTTCGAAATTTTTAAAACGGATTGAGTAGTTGAGTTATAGCGAGCAGAYTTTTTCCCGTCCCGGCACCCACGAAAACGTTATCAGAATCAGAATTATATACATTTATRTAATTATACAGTGTACCTAATTAATATCCACAAATATAGATAACATCTATATCTGTGTTAATATCGTAATTCGTAGTCCCGAGTACAGACTACAACTACAGGTTAAAAAATAAATAATAGTTTTCAATAATAATTGTATGAAACATTTGAACGTGTGAAGAAAGAAAAAAAAATAAAAATAAAACGATCACGCTGTAGACGATCATGATACCACACGAGTACACGACCATTACACGCGAGACTCGCACAAAAGACGGTTGGTTTGGAGCCGGCTGAGAAATATGACAACGTCGCTTTGACAAATCGAAATATTCTGCCCCACCCCCACCCCCGGTTGAAACCACCGCACACCRCAGACACCACTACTACCCGCCGGCGCACCGTATAACACACAGCGTGTAAACATCAGCTCTTTTATGTGCCCATTGCCCAGGATTTGAGTATGAGTCGTATCTGTAACGTGTGTGTGAACCCGTTTTGAGATCATTACCCAAACGCACACACCTAACACACGTGAAAAGAAAAAAAGGCGCCAACGAGGGAACGGACAACAAAAACGATCGGGCACAATACGAACGTCGGAATGATGTTTAATAATAATAATAATAATATGTTAATGTTAAAAAAAAATATCTTGTTCTGACCTCAGCTGCGACCAGCTCATTCTGTCGTGTCGACAGGAGAGTATAGCCCCGACACAGGACTTCGAAAGTTCAAATTCGAAAAAACACAAGACGGACCTCCGAACAGGGTTTCAAAAGATCAGTGGTTGTTACTTGTAAATCCCGAAGAATCGGAAACAACGCGACGACGACTAGCGAACCCGGACGACGCACTATCGTTGTAGTAATAGGCTGATGGTTATACCCGGACGCGTTCGCCGACACTGGCGAGCGCGTCTCCTCGTGGTCTGCTTGCGGTGCAGAGCAACCGACCGATCGAACGCACTGTCGAGTTCGRCGACGGCTTTCAAGGTCGGCAGCTGCGGCAACGACTACAACTATAATAATATTATTATCGTAATATCGTACTTTTGTACGAGCACTTGACGTTCACTGTATTATCGTACATCATTAATCGTAATACGCGAGTGATGGTAAGTGCACAAGCGCGTTGACGGTTCGGCGTTTCGGATTTTCGAGGTATTAGAATTTGTTTTTGCAGCCCATGTGCACCAAAACGTAATGATGTATAATTGSCCTTACCAAAGATGGCCAGAATAGGGCATATTCATCGGTGTACCTAGAAATAACTCTTTAATATAATACATTTAGAAGATCGGTTTTAAAGGAACCATCAGCTCGTTCGAAAGAGATTTGGGATGCGTGTTGCCCGGGGTTTGAGAGGTCTTAAACTCTCATACTTTTATATTATTTATCATTTGTTTTTATATAYGACGGTGTTTTTTTCCSGTGGAGATTTCTTCGGAGTTCGAACCTAATTCGTATTTGTATTMATTAATGCCAATGCTTTTGTAGAATTRGAAATTTTAATTTTAAATCGTTTTTTTGATTTTCACTAGATCTTGAATGTATAATAATGATTATTGAATATATTATATTCTATGATTCAATTTTATAAATATGAGTGCAATTAAACAAAAAAGTGTCAAAATGTATGATCATATTTCAATGTGATGATTTATCGTAGGTGTGATTAYTAAATAATATAATGACAATAACACCATATTTACCCGGTGGTTCGGTATCATTTCCGACTTTTCATCATACTTTATTATAGTATTGATGACCAGTGTCAGCCTCGAACGCGTCCGAGGACCTAAGCTAATTTCTTTAGTTTTTAAGCCCCACAAAGCGAGGTAAAATCTAGTCGAAAAAGATTCACATATATGGTACCAACTATTGATCGTACGACAGATGGTAAAATTTGGTTTTTTAAGATTTCTCAAAAAAATACGTATTAGTTGTGCAACGAGTAGTCGTGTCTCGTATAGACCAGTGCTTCTCATACTGAGGGCAATGGCCCTCTAGGGGCCGGTGGCTATATCACTGGGTTGCCATGGAATATTGAGTATTTATTCCATTCAAACCATATTCTTTAGATTTTAACGCTTATAGTTAAAAAAAAAAAATTATTATTCTCGACACAACATTTTAGCATATTATTATTAATTGAGAAAAAATTATTTATGATTTCTTCATTAAGCGGTCCTTGGCAGTTTTACTTTAAATAAAGAGGCCTCCATGATAAAAAAAWTCGAGAGCATTAGTTTAGATCTAGAATAGAATCTATTTTGTCAATGGTGTAGACAGTTGTAGACGTGTATTATAAATGTATAACTGAATCAAGTTTGTGCGTGCATATTATAATTCGTTTATTAACAATAAATTATTTATCGTACAACAGGGTTTGCCACGAGTAACTATAGGCTATGTCAAAACATGTGGGCCCTCATAATCCAATAACTATAGCTAGTATTCGTTGTTCATCTATATTTACACTTTAATTTCTAATTAACAATATTTAAATATGGTTCATGAATTATGAACTTTCGACTTAAACTTCCTTATAAAAACGTAATTCAGAATGCTTATCTGATGATATATATCTATAAGTATTAATTTTATAGATGAGAAGTAGGTACTCGTATATTAAAAATGTATACAAGAAATTTGAACTTTCTCCAATAATAAATAGTTCATAATATGTCGATACAAAAATTTTAAATTATGATGATTAAGGACATACAAGGCTTTTTTCAATTCAAAAATTAATAAGTGAAAAGACTATACAAAATATTGATATTAATACCTATCARCATATTATTGTATTATTTCAAATATTTTGACTTTGTTTTAGCAATTAATACTTTAATAGATACAATTTATTGTCTGTTTTATTCGATAAATTAATACCTAAGTCGATACCTTTTTTTGTCAAAGTCAAAAAAACTTGATTTTTAGAACAAGGTTCCTCAAAAA